GCAACATTCTTAATAGGAGAAACCTCAAACTTATTTTTCCAAATTTAAACCTCAACTCCTGTGTTAAGTCACAATTTTCATTTGGTAAGGCACAAGTACATTAAATAATTCCTCTTCCTTTTGCCTCCAAATGGAGAACTGTGAACTCATTTTCAAGTGCTTTATCTTATCTGGATTTTTCAGGTATTCTCAAATGTTCAAAGACTCTGGACAATTCACAAAGAAAATCTTTCGTACATGGGGTTTTTAAGTTTTTAATGTGGGACCACAGAAAAATTTAAGAGAGTCCATAAACTTGGAAGGGAAAAATTTTCATCTTTCTTTTGACTGATCTCTAACTGAAATTCAACCTTTACTTCAATTATTTAGAAACATTCTGAGTAAGAGTTCATAGGTTTCACCAGATTGCTAAAAGGGTATATGATAAAAAAAAAAAGTAAGAATCTCTACCTTAGTAGATGCTCTTGGCCTAACTCTCACATATACTTTTCTACAGTCCCTCAATTCTCTTATTTTGATTGTCATGAAGTCTGTAACACCTCCTCACAAAAGGCATGTTTTATCCCACATATCAGTAGTCGCTTGTGAATATCAACTTCCGCAAACTGACAATATTTTTCACATATCATTCTTATATCCTCTAGAAATATTGCTCTATCAAGCCAAAATATACCCATTCACTAAATAATCTGATCAATACCAATAATGAAAATTAAAAACAGTAATAACATTATCAACATGTTATGAGCAAATTTTGACAATTATAGATTCTCATAGATCAGAACTAAAATTCTTATATTGAAAATGCTTAAAATATGCTTTGAACAGTAATGCAGGAAATGTTTCTTAAAAGACAAACAAAGTGGTAGAGCCAAGATGGAGGAATAAAAGCAGTTTCTTGCTTGAGCTCTCCCCCAACCCCTCCAAATACCTGCAAAAAATGACTCTAAACAAATTCTAGAGCAGCAGAAGCCACAAAAAGACAAAGTGAAACAAATTTCTGGCCCAAGACAAACTGGATGATTGGTTGGAAAGTCTATTGTGCAGGGCTAGGAGAGGGGCACAGTTCAGCATGAGTCATGCAGGCAAACACAGGGCCTCAGCGAAACTGGAGCAGGTCTCAGGACTGAATCAAGAGGAGATGTGGCAGTTTTTAGACTTCTCAACTCACAAACACCAAAGACAATTTAGAAGGTCAGTAGGAAAGGTCTGTCAGACCTTGGTGAGAGAGGAGCTTGTCCCAGCACAGTCCCAGGCTGGCAACTGCTTTCGGAGCACTCAGCCCAGAGATAGAGGGGGTATCGAGTGGCTGATCAGAGGGGGATTGAAGGGATCTCTTTGCTGGTGCTGAGGCAGGATTCTCTTGCTTTGCACATGCTTTGATCTGAGTTACAGTCCTGGGTGGCAGTCCTGGGGTAAGGAGGAGCATTGGCATGGTGGAGCTTGTGGCAGTAGTGGAGAAGGAATCATTCTCACAGTTTGAAGGCAGAAAACAGACCAGAACACAGGCCAGGAAAGGAGTAAACACCTTGCTTTTGATCATACCACCTTGGAAGAACTGAAGATTTATAGGTCCCTAGAAGTATCTCTGGAAATAGCTGCACAAAACTCCTGACGCTTGGGACAGTACATTATCCACACTGGAAGCAGAACCCCCTACTTTAACAAAGAGTTTAATAGTCAAGTAATTGACTGGGAACATAAGCAAACAGTAGGAAAAAACTCAGACCATAGAATCTTACTTTGATGACAAAGAAGATCAAAACATAAACCAGAAGAAGACAACAAAGTCAAAGCTCCTACATCCAAAGCCTCCAAGAAAAATATGAATTGGTCCCAGGCCATAGAAGAGCTCAAAAAGGATTTTGAGAAGCAAGTAAGAGAAGTAGAGGAAAAACTGGATAGAGAAATGAGAGTGATGCAAGAAAATCATGAAAAACAAGTCAATAGCTTGTTAAAGGAGACCCAAAAAATACTGAAGAAAATAACACCTTAAAAAATAGCCTAACCCAAATGGCAAAAGAGGTACAAAAAGCTAATGAGGAGAAGAATGCCTTAAAAAGCTGAATTGGACAAATGGAAAAGGAAGTCCAAAAGCTCACTAAAGAAAATACTTCCTTAAAAATTAGAATGGAGCAAATGGAAGCTAATGACTTTATGAGAAATCAAGAAATTATAAAACAAAACCAAAAGAATGAAAAAACAAAAGACAATTTGGAACCCAAAGTTTTAAAAACAAATGTTAAAAATTTTTTTCACATGCAACTGGGAAACAAGATATACAAGCAATGGGGTATAGAAACTATACTGCCCTATAGGAAAATAAGAGGAGAGGATAAGAGAAGGGTGGGGTAATAGAAGGGAGGGCAGATCAGGGAAAGGGGTATTCAAAATGCACAGTCTTGAGGTGGGGGGGAGGGGAGAGATGGGGAGAAAACTTGAAACTCAAGATCTTGTGAAAGTGAATGTTAAAAATGAAAAATAAAATAAATTGAAAAAAAGAAACTCACATCTTTGAAAATGGTCAATATGGGGATTTGTTTGCATGACTATATATATTTGGTCAAAAAAGTTTTTTTTTCTTTTTTTCCCGAGTGGTTGGGGGAAGAAGGGAATAAATGCTTGACAATTGTGAAAATGTTTTAATTTAAAAAAACAAAAACAAAAAACGGGTAGCTAGGTGGCACAGTGGATACAGCACCGGCCCTAAAGTCAGGAAGACCTGAGTTCAAATCTGGCCTCAGATCAAACACTTGACACTTACTAGCTGTGTGACCTTGGGCAAGTCACTTAACCCCAACTGCCTAAATAAATAAATTAATTAATTAAATTATAAAAAACCTTTTTGAATAAAAAAAAAAGACAAACAAAACAAACTAAAATATTAGCACATTCCTAAATAGAGAAAAGAAAAGAAATTATCCTGGACAAGCCATAATTTGTAACACCATTACAATAATTAACTCATTTTAAGCCTACAGAACAATAAAATGGTCCCTGTGTCCCACTTGGTTCCTTCATCTTTGGCTTTAAAGAGTTTATTTTAGATGAAAAGTTCTGAGTTCAGTCACAATCATTCAAAATTCCCAAAGTCAGTCTATCTGTTTATTCTTATAATTACACTTATCTCCAATTAAACCCTGGCTTCATTGTGGTTTTGGCAAAATTTGGTTTACTGGAAATATTTTAGTAAAGCAATAGTAGATTTTGTTATAATGTCTGTGGATAGACAAACATTGGGAAAGAAAGTTAGAGAAGAATTGTCCTCTTCTTGATTCCCTCAGCCTGAGTTCTCCACTCAGAAAATGCCTAATGAGCCCATGACTTTTGTCCTCTCCATTCTCTGTCCCAGCTCAGTCCTCCCCTTGCTCCTTAAAAAGTGTGCTGGAAATGTCATTTTTGCTCAAATCTCTGGAATCCAGGCCCTCAGAAAGTCAACCTCTAGTTCTGAGATAGCTTTTTCCTTTCATACTTTTCTATTTCTGTAAAGGGAACCACCAGTTTTTTTTTTTTTTCTTAGTAACCAAGTCTTAAAACTTAGGGGTAAAATTTCTTTAGCCACTGATGATTTAAAGTGAAGAAAAACAAGGTAGGGGGATGATTTAGAACACTTGCACTAGTTCAGATAAGAGGTGATACAAGTTTGAACTGAGTGGTAGCAGTGTGAGAGAATAAGACATATATAAGAGAGGTCAAGAAGATTGAAATAATAAGATTTAGCAATGGATTAACTAGGTGGGATGAAAGTTAGGAGTTAAGGATTCATCAAAGTTGGGGAGCTAGGGAGAAAGGTGGTGTCCGTGACAACAAAAGGGAAGTTCAAAAAATCCTCAGAAGAGAGGAGATTTGGGGTAGAAAGATAATCAGTTCTATCTTGGTCTTGTTAAGTTTGAAATGGCCACAAGCAAATCCAGTCTGTGATGTTCAAAAGGCAGCTGATAATGTGGGACTGGAGCTCAGTAGAGAGATCAGGGCTGGAAATATCAATTTGGAAATCATGTGCAGAGATTATAATCAAACTTACTAGAGCTGATTAGCTCTCCAAGTGAGATAGCGTGAAGATAAATGCAAAGAGGACCCAGGACTGAGCCATAAGGGATACCTACAATTAGTGAACATGACATAATAAAGATCCAATAAAGGAGACTGAGGAATAATTGGACAGATGGGACAAACAGTGGCCAGAAAGCAGTTTCACTAATACCTATAGAGGACACAGTATCTAAGAAAAGTTAATCAACAGTATCAAATCCTGTAGAGTGGTCAAGAAGGATGCATTTATGAAAAGGTCATTAGACATGGAAATTAAAAAATCAATGGTAACTTTACAGAGGGGAGTTTCAGTTGAATGATAAAGTTGGAAGCCAGATTGCAAAGGAGTTAAAAGAGAGTAAGGGAAAAGAAAGAGGAGGTACTTAGCATAGACAACTTTCTCAAGGATTTTAGCCATGAAGTGGAAGAGAAACACAGGACTACAGCAGGTAAGGCCATGTTATATAGTGATTAAATATTGATGTCACATTTTAAAATAATGTCACATAAGTTTCTTGAGATTATTATCATGGAGTTCCCGTTAAGAAAGTGAAAAAAGTAAAAACAGGATTTTGTAAATTCAAGGAAAGGAAGTGATTACACAACACGTATAAACAACTGCCATATTCCACATTAATAAGTATTTTTCAACAATCATAGAGTTAACACATCTTATAGTTCTTACTTAGCCATGATGAAGTATCAATTAACTAAGCAAACAGGGTTAAGATTATGCACCATGATTTCTAAAAGAGATTAGAGTATGTTGTTGAATATGCTGACAATTTATCAGGTGACAAAATGATACTAGATTGCCTCCTACTATCTTTATTTTCCAAAGTTCATAACCATATACCTTTTCCAAAAGGAATTAAAAAGACTTTTAAAAGTAGTTTAAAATACTCCCATAAAAATGTGTGAAATGATCCAAGCATTGGAGGATTATCTAAAGGAAATATTGGACTTACTTTAAGCTGCTGATCCTAGTTTCTGCAGCTTCTGTAATCTTTTTTGTTTCATCTTTCCACCGATTGGTTGCCTTCTGTTGAGCTACTAACAGACGTCTCAATTCAACAGTGGAATTATGATTACTATCTTCCAGCTCTCTCAAACGAATTTCATATCCATGCTCCTTTACTGAAAATTCATGCTCCATTGTGCTGATCTAGTGAACAAAATGAATATATTGTTTCTGTTTTCATTTACTCTTTTTATCACTACAATGATCAATCATGTGAGCAAGTGGAAATAATCACTGTGCCATAGATATTTTTCAGTTTATGATCAGTTCATGAAATTAAACTATAAAATTTGTTTTAGTTATGAATTCCATAAAATTGATCCAAAAATTGATGAAGTAAAACATTCTTATATATTTTGATCTTTCAATTCAATAAATACTTGTTAAGTGCTTACTATGTATCATGTACGTTAGGGGATAGAAAGATGATTAAGGAGCCATCTAGAGGTCTAAATTCTTATAAAGATAATAAGACATACACAAAGAACTGTCATATAAGCTCGAACATGATCTATGCATAGAAGTGGCATGGAAAAAGTGTTATAAAGGAGTTAAACACGGTAAAGAGAGATGTCTTCTCTCTAGGGTATAAGTGAAGGTTTTGTAGAGAAGGTTGCATTTGACCTCAGCTTTGAAGGATAGGTAGAATTACAATGGATAGGAGAATGGATCAGGTAGGTAAAGTGAAAGTTACAGAATACACAAATGCACAGAGATAGGAAAATGGGGGGGAAGGGGCCTATAGTGAGAATGAATTAGAAAAAGTAGACCAGTATGATACATAGTTGAAAATGTGAAGAGGAGTAGAATGAGGTAAGGCTAGAAAGGCTGGGTAGAACTAGATTTTGGAAGGCCTTGAATACTAAGGCATTTGGAGTTTTGTAGGTAATGGGGAGTCACTGAAGTTGGAAGTGACATGGTCAGAACCGTACATTGTGAAAATTACCATGATCTGGACAGAAGGACAGAATGGTTACTATGAATCCTGAAGGCAGAGCTGAGGTAAAAGTCAAGAGTTATCTAGTCAAAATGGTAGAAACAGGCAAGATGTGGCATTTGAACAGGAGACCTGTGGTGGTAGGGACAGGTCTAAAATGAGGATGAAGGAGGGAGGAACAAGCACAGATTTCATCCAAGGGTGCCAGTATGGATACCAGGGCTTGAGGTTTAAGCCTAGAATGAGGAAACAGGCAAGAGAAGAAGCATTCTGCATAGTTTAAAGCTCGCAAATCATGAAGGATGAGCAGGGCTTTCAAAAATCAGTTTGTTTGGAGGACCAGCTAGTATGCTGGAGTGTGAGGAAGTAGTGAAGTTCAGTTCCCCCTACAATGGGTCATTTTTCTAGCCATTGGTTGTAGATTCAAACTACAGGAAGGTGCCCTGGGAAGAAGCTGTGAAGCGGAGACGGGCTAGAATCTCAAAATTCAGTGCTCAGTGCTCTGAGCTATGTCAGCAATATAGATGTCCAGAGATAGTCAGGGACTCAGAACTAAGTCTAGGTTAGCAATATATCATATCTCAGAAGGGCCAGGAATGTGGATCCAATATCCAGACCTCAGGGGTAGGCCAGTGTTACTGAGAAACCCAGAGTAGATAGCTGGACAAATGGCCAAAAAAAAAGAAAAAAAAGGACAAACTTGTTGTGAGGTCAGATATGCCCAGGACATAGACCCAGAAGTAGATAATGGCTCTAAAATACCTACAGGGAAAGTCTCAAATAAAAAAAAAGAAAACTTTCCCAAAAAATCAGTAACAGTTTCTAGGAAAAATGATACAAATGTTTATGAATGATATTATAAATGAAGTTGGAATGATGGAGAGGGGAGTTGGAGGAGAGATAAAAGTCATGGAGGAGAGTCTGGAGGGAGGATTGACAGTTTGGTAAAAGAGGTATAGGGCCTTACTCAAGTAGCAGACTCTCTGGTTATTGGAAGGGACCAGACAGACCGTAGTAACTTCATGAGACAAGAAATATTAAGATAGGGTCAGGAGATTAGGAAAAGGAAGGAGTGTGTAGGGTGTCTTACAATAGAAATAACTGATACTAGAAGGCATATCAAGGAAAGATAGTTTAAGGATCACTGGACTATCTAAGAGCTATAGCCAAAAGAAGAGGCTGGACATCATATTTCAGGAGGTCACAAAATAAAACTGTCCAGGTATTTTAGAACCAGGGGGCAAAGTGAAAATATAGGGACTTCACCAGTCACTTCCTCAGGGAAGCCCCAAGGAACTCCCAGAAATGTCATGGCCAAAATCCAAAGCTTCTAGGTTGAAGAGACAATATTGCAGGCAGCTGAAGAAAAGGCATTCAAATACCAAGTAGAAACAGGAATACACAAAATTTAGCAACTGAATTTATGAAAGAATGAAAATTATAAAATATAATATTCTGGAGGGCAGAAAAATATGAACCAAGAATAATTGAGTGTGGTCCTATAGGGGGAAAATAGATCTTTAATGAAGTAGAAGACTTCTAAGCATTCCTGATGAAGGGACCTGGTGAAGAGATTTTGAACTGTAAATATGGCAGTGGGGAGAAACATTAAAAGGTAAATACAGTTGAACAATCAGAAAAGATTTTATAAATCTGAAGGGTAGAGGAATGATACAAAAAATCTTCTGAGAACCATTAATGTCAGCCAAGACTGTAGAAAGAGCTAAATAAGGTAGAGGGCCTGGGAATAATTTTTGTTATGTTTTAATGATCTTAAAAGAAGAAAGGTAAGGGAGAGGGGAAAAGGAAGAGGAATTAAGGGGAAATTATTTCACAGAATCTGGGGGTGCAAGTAGACGTCTATACAAAAGTGGAAGGGATGGAGAAAACAAGTCACTTGAACCTTACTTTGAACTGATGCAGATCAAAGCAAGCAGAACAAGTAGAATAACTGATATAACAACAGCCCTGCAAAAAATGAGCAATTGTGAAGGACTAGAGAACTCTAACCAATCCAATGATCAACAATGATTCGTGAGGACCAATAATTTAGAATGCTGACTGCCTCCTGACAGAAAAGCAATGGACTAGGTATGCAGAGTAAAACATACATCTTTAGAAATGGCCAATGTGGTCATTTGTTTTGCTTGACCATGGGTGTTCGTTGCAGTGGTTTTGTTTTTCCTTTTTAAGGGAGGGAGATAGAGGTAGGAAAGGAGAGAGGAGAGGTGCAAAAGAATCAGTGGTAACCATACAGGAGGGACTTGTTGAATCCCAATTGATTCTTAGAGTCATCAGGTACAGCACCTACTACAAAGTCTTTTTCAAAGTGGTTCTCTCTCAGAAAATGCTATTGAGGAAGAAGTGAGAACAACAGCCTTAGAGTTATCTAATATACTACCTTCATAGCATTGCTTCAACTGCTTTGTCAAAAATATCAAGCTGTTTCATGCTCAGAAAGTAATTTTTTTATGGAAAGTGAAAGAAATCATATTCAAGCATGCCTGACCTGTTAACTTTCTGAATTATGATCAGTGTTTTATGATGGGGAGAAAGAATAAGAGAGCTTCTAAAATTGTTTGCTACCCTTCTAAATATTCTCTGTACTAGAATTTTCCCTGGCAGACATAGATCCAACTAGGTCTTGATGGTACCTTTAATTTGGCTTTTTGTTGAGCCTCCAAAGCAATTTTTCTCAAATCCTCGGTGTCTTTTTGCAACTGTTCATTTTCTTGCTGAAGTTTCAGCCTTTGTTCACTGACGGTGCCACAGTTCTCTCTTTCAGACTCTAAAACACTCTGAAGCTTTTGAATCCTTTCCTGGCTACGTGACATCTCTTCTTCAGAACTGAGAAAACAAAACATCCCACTTAACGATCTGCTATAAAATTCAAGGAGTAAGCCCACATTTTCCAGTGTTTTATTTTCCCTTTCTGGAGTCATTTAATTACAATTCACAATTATACTCTGTGTTTTAAAAAGAGTTTGTTATAGTAGGTGTGTTCTATGTAAAACAGAAGAAAAGCAGCTAAATTAAACTACCTACTCATCTTTAAAAACTAGTTTGCAATCTTTCAAATTCTGTATGTTAAATTTAAGAGAACAGATATACTATACATGAAATTCACTGGGCAAGGAGGATTAAATGGGGAGAAATCCTAGGTGACAATAAATGGGGGAGGTTCAATAGAGCAATATTCAAAAGTCCTTTGCTTATCACTGAATTCAGTTATAGGAAAATATGCTAGCTGATCACACTAATATATTATAGTGAGGAATAAACTTTTGCATTGTCCCCATGAGGTTTGCCTGAGTTTTTATGAAATCGTAATAGTGTAATTATAAATTCATTCAAATCTCTTGGATTTTGGAAAATGTTTTAATGGGTAGGAGAACCCATTAAAATATAAGAGTAATGTGCAAGAGCTCCTCTCCTCTAAATACACTAAGAACTACAAAAAAAATTTCCCTTTTTGTTGCCATATTCTAATTCCCACATAATACAATCACTATAACATTCCAGATTTGTTTTTTACCAGCCCTGCTTACATTATGAACCACAATTAATGCTGTTAAATGGAAACAGACTTTAAATGGAGCCTATGATTCTGCTCCTTTGGCAATAAGAGTAACCACGGATAGAAATGGGAGGGTGAGCATGTGGTGTGCAGATGAAAGCTGAGAATATGATGACGTCAGAGAGCTACAGGTTCAAAGTTACTTGCAACAAAAGAAATTTATATGAAGAATGAGAGTTCTTGAAAGTTCACCAACATCAGTTCCATATAATTGAAATGTTAGGATAATAATGAGGAGTAAGAAAGCCTAAGGACAGGCAAAAGGGTTCTACTGGTTTTATAGTGTGCCACTTGTATCCCTAAATTTGTTCTTAGAGATTCCCTACTGGTTTCTGTCAGGTTGCACTGAGACTTTTCCAAGGCATAAATCTAGGGATCTGCTAATTCTAAACTATACACTACTTGGAGAAGATCTTAAACGAAGCATTGGCAGAAGTGTGGAGGACTTTGTTGCAAATCTAAAAAAACAACAGCTCAATCTTGGGAAGTAGGAGAGCTGATTTCATTCTCTCTTATTCCGTGCCTTGTTCCTGCCAAGTCACATACCATGTTTAAAATAATCTTAAACTAATTCTTCTGTGTTTAGACAAGCTACCGCTGAATAAGTAGTATTACTGCTGTTCCATATTTCTAAAACCATGTTTTCCATCTTTCAGTAAGAGGGAAAAAAACTAAAAGCATTTTAGTCAATGTGTCTAGCTTGCTGCTTTTACAAAGACCTTCTTGTTCAGTATGTATGTATTTCAGTATTTTTTGTTATACAGCCCTTTCACTGGAACATTTTTTTTTTTTTTGCTTAGGCATTTGGGGTTAAGTGACTTGCCCAGGGTCACAGCTAGTAAATGTCAAATGTTTGGTCTGAGGCCGGATTTGAATTCAGGTCTGGCGCTCTATCTACTGCGCCACCTAGCTGCCCCACGGAACATCTTTTAATAGGTTTAATATATACCAGCAAAACCTGTAACTTCAGCAAATAATGATAACAGAACTGTAAGGAGTATCAATATGTACTTTAAAATTGGGTCTTGGGGCAGCTAGGTGGCACAGTGGATAGAGGTCCTGGATTCAGGAGGACCTAAGTTCAAATCCGACCTCTGACACATAACACTTACTAGCTGTGTGACCCTAGGCAAGTCACTTAACCCCATTGCCTAGCTCCCCCCTCCAAAAAAATTGGGTCTCTACATAAACTTTGAATAGATTATTGTTTTAAATGATCTTAAAATGAGTCTTTGCTCTTAACTGGAAGATAACAAGGATTTCTATGTTACTTTTAAAATGCATAATCTGAAAAAAATACCATGATTTTTTAGCTTGAATATAATAAAAGTCCACTCTACCCCAAAAACTGTAATTTGCATACAAATCTAAATCTATTTTAGAAAAATCATTTTACTATGCCCATAGGATTGACAAAGATACTTTAGTATACACAAAAAGTGGACCAGATTTGGGATATCATCATTACACAGACCCCATGATCTGTGAGAAACCTCTATAAGCCAATGCTGGTAGATACCTGATCTGTCCTTTAGAGTCTTTCTTGAACTTCCTGGGTTCCTGAGAGGTCATAAAGTCAAAATGAGAAAGAGACAAGACTTGAACCTGGAGAGATCTTCCTGACTCTGAGGCTGTCATCCTTTGTACGATGCCAAGACACCTCTTTAGACACATACTTATTAATATAAAATGTAAGATATGTGGTAATTACTTCTCTGTGGTTCATTATGAAGATGAAGAATGGATTAGTAATTAAGTTCAATAACTTGAAATAAAAAATTTTATATCATATTGCTCCTGACAAAAACAAAAACCCTTTAAAGAAGTTTAGAATGTGTACAAAGCTGAAATAAGTCTGGCAATTCAATTCTAAGGCTTCATCTTTAACACAAAGTATTATGCATGCCACTTAACAAGGATAATGGCAGGTTTTTTAGTATTATAGTTTGCCTGTTGTGCATAAATGGGTTGCAGTTGCACATTTCATATACAAATCAATTATATGGAATTCAGACCTGATCTCAGAAACAATGGGATTCAAAGTTGTCATGTTCTCATTGTTTTTGCTCATTTGTGTCTGACTCTTCATGATCCTGTTTGGGGTTTTTCTTGGCAAAGATACTGGAGTGGTTTGCTATTTCGTTCTCCAATGGATTAGGCAAACAGAGGTTAAGTGATTTGCCTAGGGTCACACAGATAATTGAGTGTCAGAGGCTGGATTTGAACTCAGGTCCTCCTATCTCTAGGCTCACACTTTATCCACTGAATCACTTAGCTTCTCTATGTTCTCATACTAGTTTAGTCAAACCTCTACACCCCACATCTGGTTCAAGTATAGCACTGCAGGAACAATAGTATGGAACCTAATCTATGTCAGTGCCAATGGTTCTATGGGAAGACACATTCACAGTTCTAACTCAGTATCCTCCTTTTCACCAAACCCTAAAAATATGTTTTATAGAGTTAGGATTCCCCTTTCTCCAAGCCACTGCTAATTACATGGTCTGGAGCAGGAATTCTAAAAGAGCAGAAGATAGAGATGAAGGGCAGGAATAAGATCTCAGAAGATTCTTTTCTTCTCTTTCTGAGTCTAGGGATTGATTTGCTTGTGTCCTTTTCAACTGATTGGACTCCCTCCTGCACTTCTTTTCCCCTCTTTCTTTTTTTCACTTCCATCAATCAAGAAACATTTACTAAGCACCTAACATGTAGAAGGCACTCTACTGGCAACAAAATGAAAATGTAACCTTCACTTCTTCGAATCCCAAGTTTCATCTAAAGTTTAGCAATTTTCTACGTTTATCAAGGCTACCACTGCTCTTCCAGCCATTCTGGTTTGTGAATTAGAGGCTTCCTCTATCCTTAGTTCTCCTTCACACCACGTATCTAATAAATTGTCAAATCTTATCATTCTATTTCCACAATATCTGTCATATTCATCTTCTCTTCACTACACAGCTACCACTCTAGTTTAGTCTCTCATAGCCTCTTGCTTGAATTACTGCCAACTGGTCTCCCTCCCTCAGTTTTCTCCCCTTTACTATCTATCCTCTACTTAGTTGCTAAAGTGATTCCCCCAAAGCACACATCTGACCGTGCCACTCAATAAACTCCCATAGCTTCCTATTACCTCTAGAATTAAATAAAAATTCTTCTATTGCTATTTAAAGCCCTTTGTAACAGGGTTGAATCCATCTTCTAGCCTTATGATACATTATTCTTTTTCATGTACTTTTTGGTCCAGGAAAACTGGTCCTCTTGCTACTCTTCACAAATAGCATTCCATTTCCAGCTTCTGTGCCCTGAGGTAGGTTATCCTCCCCTCCTAGAATGTAACCTCTACCTCTTAGAATCACAAGTTTCATTCAAAGCTTACTTAAAATGCCACTTCCTATCCTTCCAGTTGCTGGTGTTTTCTCACACTAAATTATATTTATTTTATAAATGTTTGCTATGTACTTATTCTGTGCATATTTTTGTTTGTACATATTATCTCCTTCTATAGAATGTGATCTTCTTGAATGTAGAGTATTTTATTTTTATACTTACATCCCCAGTGCCTAGCAGAGTACCTGGCATATTGATCATTAATTAATTTTACAAATTAATTTTCAGTAGCAATTATGAAAAAAAAAACCTGTTGGTCCAAAAGCATTTGGTTACTTGCATTACTATAACAAAAAGGATTTAGAACCTACCAAATTATGTTTATACAGAAATCTCTCCATATTGGACATAGTTAGAATTTTATTAATCAAAAAGATTAAAGGAAACAAAAGATTACCAGAACACTCATTGCAGTGGATAATCAAGATATTAGAAATATAGAATTATATGACATATATGAAGATTATTACTTACTTTATCTCAAGTTGTTTAATTCTGTTTTGTGCTGTCTTAAGTCTTAACTGAAGATCATCCTTGGCACGTTCTGCAATTAAGCACCTCTGGTGCATTTCTTCTAGTTTCCTATAATCATCTTCATTTCCTCTGCCTTCTCGGTAAATCTAGATTATAAGATAACAAAATTTTGCAGTGGAAGGGACCTTAGAGATAATCTATTTTAATGCATTTTACAAAGGAGGAAACTGAGGCCCTAAAGGTGAAGTGACTTGCTCAGCATTGCAAAAAGCAGTCAAGACTCAAACTCCGTTCCTATAAACTTCACATCCAGTGGTCTTGACACTTCACTATTATAGAAGTATGTGAAACTTATTGTAAAAGTTATACAGTATTAAACTTTGAAAGCAATCAAAATATACTAACTACAATGGTGGTTTCTGAATTTTTCAAATGAGAGTCTTTCATTAACACTAAAACAAATGAGAGACCCCATCATGATTGGAGTTGTACTATTAGTATGCACTGATTAAAAATACATGACAAAACCTTTAATGAATTCAATATTTATAAATGAATTCATATTTTATTAATTATAAAAATACCTAATTTAAAAATTAGTAATCATAAATTTATGAGACATATTGCATATTCAGTATATGGAAAGCGCATTTGCATACTACTTACAATAACTCTGTGGTCTGTGGGTCAACAAAAAGGAAACCACTGAATAGAATGTAGATCTCAGATGACAGGGCTTCAATCACTTACCATAGTAATGATATGGTTTTTAAAAAACCATGATTTCATTAGGGGATTATATGACCTTTAGTTTTTTCAAGTCTTTCATTATTGGGAAAACCAAAGCAATAAGCTACCCAATTGTTGATTTCAGGGTGAAGGACTTCACTCTCTTTGAGATGTATTTTTAGAGATCTCACAAGGATTAAATTTAGCATATAACTCTTGATGAGTTGACAGGGCCAAAAAAAATTAATCACCTTGTGGCCAACTTGCTGCTTATGAACCTGTTTACCCTTAGCTCAGGCAGTTAGTTGGATGATAAGTACAGTTCGTCACCAGGTCTGTATGTGAAGTATTTCCATGATCAGGTTATTTTACATAGGCAAAATGGAATACCAAAGGCTGAAACTGAAGAAATTATCACTAGTGACAGGCCTATATGTCCAAGGAAGGGAACCCTTAAGTTATTCTAATATCAGTATTCTAATTCTAAGTATCTAATACCATTATATTACAATATATAAGCTAGTTACATATAGTGGAATGTCAGAATTAAAAAAACAGGCAAAATCCACCTTCAAGTTCCCTTAAATTACTCATAAAATACAGTACAGCAGCTTTAGACAGAAAGGGGCTAGGATCTTTTTAAAAGTAGGCAATTAGAGAGCAGATGGATCTGAGATGGTTACTATGGAAACATCTAAATGTAAATTTTATTTTTCATTATACCCAGTTAAGCTAGGAGCAGGAAACTAGACTGCTAGTGAATACAAGAAAACAGACACAGGTAAAGACTTGGTCATAATAAAATTAATAATTTAGGAAAAATACTCTTGAAATGGTTTTATACATAAACATGATTATATTACAGGGTGATCATACTACCATACAATAGTTTCTTCTTCCTACTTCATTGTAAGGCATGATAGGACAAAAGTAAGTGAAAGAAAACACAACAGGGATCTTCTAGGTAACCAGGAATACTAAGAAGGCCAAGTAGGACTAACCACTAATTAGTTCTACAAGCCTAAACAGAATGAATAGACTGTGGGTATGATGAAGAGAAGATTCTAGAATCATATTGAGCATGAAATATTTACATTAAGAGGTGAGACCCATTTAGGATACTGCAGATTCACATCTCCCAATTTCCCATCTCATGTTTACTCTCTAGTGTATACTCACTGAGTGAAATGGACTACAGAATTGGCTAGATTATTTAGATTTCCTCTCTCTCCTCCCTTTCCCCCAAACCCCACGCTATGCTATGCTGTTACATACTATGCTATACTACTAGGGTATAATGATAGAACTTACCTTAAAATGTTGTTGAAAGGATTGAATGTAATATATTCCAAATTTAGATCTGGAAGAGACCTTAAAGATAGGTGAGGTTCCAGAGATGTTAAGTGCTTTCCTTGCCCAAAGGTCACATAGGTAATCAGAAGTAAAGCCAAGATGTGAATCCAGGGCTATTTCTACTATACTATGCTCTCTTGACTAACAAAAGTTAGTTAAAAGTTCTTAATAGTCTTAAAGATGTCTCCTGAGCTGATAATCAAGTTATCATCGAGAAAACTAAAATGATATGCCCTTGTGAAAGTACTTTTTGTTTTCCTGGTTGAGGAAAATACAAAAGTATCCCCTGACATTAAAAACAAAATGATTTATTATTATTATGGCTCAAAGTTGTTCTTGTGCATAGATGGAATATCATGGTCATTGATAGATTTCCTTTCAGAAACAAGACTTTTCTATACTCCAAGATCCCTTTCTCACCTGTTTCTTGAAATTATCTTTCATTCTAAAATTGAGATAACTTTCATTTTTTCCCCTTTCTATGACTAGAGCCTGGCATAATATCTAGGACATAATGGACACTTAATAAATTCTTGTTTATTGGCTGATTGTTTAAAAAAGGCAAATACCCCTATAAAAATGACATTTTTATGTTCACAAGAAAATACAAAAAGTTGATTTCTGAGTCTTTTCTAACAATAGTTTTGTTTCTGCTTTTGTTTTTTCAGAAAGGTGAGAAAATGAATGTGTGTGTAACACACACACTGTTACACACACATTCATTTTCTCACTATGTCCTATCATGCCTCACTAATTTTCTCAGCTACGGTCACTGAAGGCAAATATTCTTGCCTATGCCTTCATCTAAGACAGACTTTTAAGACTTCATTTAAGAGCTTTATGATGAGCAATTTTATAAGAAAAGATATTTTTTAGTAAAAATAAAACGTTGTCATTTCCTGATTTTATTCCCTTAAGATTTTTACATGGGTCTGATATTAAAGGGAGAGTCTATTTGAGTTAAACATAATAATTGAGTATTACTCTGCTGATCTGATTATGCCCATATAAGCAAATATATACTTCATATGGTTATATTCATGTATAAAGATTATATAAAGTTTAAAGATGTTGTCATATGTGACAGGAAACATATCTTGGCTAATATTGGCTAACTAATATTTAAATACAGATTTGGAATGCTTTTGATAGAAGGAAGGCATTCATTAAGGGTTATAACTAATAGACCTTTTTGAATACACTAATGAAAGCAGACAATGACTATAGTTAGTTGCAGTCGTATTGTTTGTTTTTACCTTTTCCAGTTCTTCTTCCACTGCCCGCTTTTCTCTAATGGCCCGTTCAATTTGGCCCTGTTTGTCTCCACATTCCTATAAAATGGACAAATAAATATTTATGAAAATATATATACAAAAAAGATATGCCCCTAAAAGCACTAGTTACTGTTATAAAGGACTTCCTACACAGGGTCCAAGTGAAAGAAGGAATCCTTTCAGATCCCTCTAGCTGCTGTTAATGTTAACTGTACTCACAGTGCCAAGCACTAAAACACTACAGGCCATTTTCAGTGAAATCCCTGGCCATTCAAAAGAGATTTTTCCAACAATCTACAGTGGTCAAACCAAAAGATGGAAAGTTTCTACTTTCCATAGTTTAGATTTGATTGGACAGCCTATGGAATTAGTTCATACATTATACAGATGGGTAATTAGCTGATCCAGGAACTGAACAGAGGAAATAAAGTGGGTAGTGTTTACAATAATCACAAGCTACTCTCTAACACAAAATGGAATCTTTTTTTTTTTTAAATATCAGTATTCTTTGAGTGATCCTATAAATTATGAATTGTGGAATACTACTCTCTCAAAAGAATCAAAATGTGGATGACCCAGAGGGTATGAAGACCAGAAGAAAGGCTCTAATACGACTTAAATGATATAAGTAGCTTAATATCTTTAAGCCATTTTTAATAGGAAAAAGAATTTGATTAAATTATGTAAAAACAAAAGAGAATGGTTGAGCAGCTCAAGAACTAAGACTGTAACAAGAAAATGTTAAAATATCTTGAGGAAAGCTTCCATTTCATTGGAAAGATCCCAGATAGAGGATCTATGGAAGATAATGAAAAGGAATTACACAGGATGTAAAAGTGTTGTTAGATTGTAATCTTCACTGTCGAAGAAAATAGCCACATGGATGAGATGAGAGATCCATTGAAGTATTTCTACATACTCTAAGTTCATGGGAAATACAAAAAAGAAAGTTTAAAGTCATTCAGTTAATTAAAGAACCCCAGTGTAATTTAGCCACATATGAAAATGCTCAACATGCTGAAAAAGGATCTACATTCCAAAATGTCAAGAATTATTTCAAAATAAAGAGTGGTTAGGAGCTCTAAGTTAACAGGAGGAAAGGGACAGAAGTTTTGGGATTATAAAGAGAAAAGAAAATGGGAATCTCTTCTTGCCATACTGTCTTTTCATCTGTTTTTATCAGAATTGTTTTTAAAAGATAAAACAAGGGAACTGTAAAAAACTCTTTGTGAGTCTGTGGATGTACTGAAAGCCACTAGATAGTCATGGAAGTTAAAGAACTTTTAATTTAATTACTATTAATCCCTCCTTTTACTCAATCAGTTAAAATATTAATAACTGAAAATGTTTCCTTAACATAAAACAGTCCTGTGCAAAAGTTTGGATTCTGTGTACTTAACAATAATCAGATTAGTCAATAAAATCCAATATTAACTAATGAGTCTAAAATGGAGAATTATAAAAGTCATCATTCTATTAGCTCCTTGCAGTTCCAATTTTTCTTAGCAGTGTAAGAGAATGCCTAGAGTACTAAAAATAAATCTATGGAGGAAGCTGATTTGAAGATAGGCATCTGTAATACTTAGAGATAATGTGTTGTTAATAACTTCTATTTCTTTCAATTATCTTTATTGCAACTATATTTTATAATATATTTTCTTGAAATCATATAAAATGCACAAACAAATCTAATATAGTAAAATTTAGCAGAGGAACAGGTAACTGTGAAACATTTTTACAGTTTCTATATTATTACTTTGTTGATCATGCCTTGTCCCCTCTTTTTTCAGTAGTGCTCTACTCTTAGAACTATCAATCCTTGAGGAAATTAAGAGGACAGAAATACTGCCCCATGGAAGACATTGTCCCTTATTGTTCAGTTCATTACTACACCCTAGCCACCACATGATCATTTTCTCTCTCTGCCATGAAGTCTCTTTTCGGGGCCCATGCCCTCTCACCCTTCCAGGTGTCAGTTGCTCACAGGAGCTCTGATTCTCCTTTTCCTCAGGCAGGATACTGTCCATGGGAGCATACCATTCTCTCAGAAGCAGTCTTAATTCACTTCTTGGAGAGGTTTTGTAGGCTTTTTGGTTCATGTTATTTCAGACCTTTTCCTCCACAATCAAGTCTTCTTTTTAGGTTCTGCTTTCATCTTTGTCTCATTGTATACTTTTATAAAGAAATCTCTTAGTGTTGCCTCTGTTGTTATTTTATTATTGTTTCTTTTAACCCCAAAGGTACCTTTCTAGTTTTTACTTTTTTCTCTAGCGCACTTTTCCTCTAAACTCGTGCCTTCTTTGCTTGCTTTACTTACCTTTCTTGTGTTTCTGCAGTTTGGAGTATTTGCAAAGCAAACAATCTGCTTGGCTTTTTTTGTTTTTTGGTTGGTTGGTTGGAAAGAATGCTTCAAAAGATTCTCTTTAATTAAGGATAACACATCATTCTATTACCTTATGCAATGCCTGATGGATAGAATTTGTTGTTTTCAGTCGTGTCCAACTCCTTGTGATTCTATTTGGAGTTTTCTTGGCAAAGATATTGGAGTGATTTGCCATTTCCTTCTCCAGCTCATTTTAGAGATGAGGAAACTGTGGCAAATAGGGTAAGTGACTTGCCAAGGATCACAGAATTAGTAAGTGTCTGAGGTCACATTTAAACTCAGAAAGATTACTAGCACTCTATTCATTGTGCCATTTAGTTGCACTGGGTATAGAATAGTCTTTTAATTCAAATTTCCTTTCCTTTACACTGGAGGTCTTTATTCTGGTTGCTTACAAAATGTGTCATCTCTCATTGGAACTATCAAACTTAACAACTATGTTTTATGGTGTTTACCAAACAGTTTTCCCTTCCAGTCTGCTTCTCCTCTCACCCCACCCCCCAACCAGGAACCCTTTGATTCTTTCCATTGGCACTTTGTTTTATATGTTCAGAAGTTCTTGGCAAGATTTTGTTTTGTTTTGGTATTATTTCTTGTATTATGGTCAACTTTGACTTGTATTCTCCTGGAAGACCTATGATCCTTAAGTTTTCTCTACAAATCCTATCTTTTTGAGATCAATGTTTTTCTCGCATAGCGATCTTGTGGGGTTTTTTTTTTAATGTATTCTGCTCTTATTCTAGATTGTTCTTCGCTTCTGTGTATTTGTATTGTTAATCAGTCATTCTCCTTTGTTTCTTTGGACATACTCACCACTGTGAATAGGAGTGGGTAGAGGGAGGAGTACAATTTAGTTGTTTCCACAGAATGATGAAGAGAAGACAAGGACAGGGTTTGTTGACAGAGATGGCTGCAGCAGCATGGAAACATTAATGGTTTCTAGAGGAGAAATTCAGGGGTCTTTTTGTTCAGTTCAGTAGCAGTATGCATTGTTTGGGCCCTGACTGGCTCAGAATGAATGTAAATAACAATTGTTTCTGTTTGGCCTTAAACCAGAGTGTCTTCCCTACCTAGATCTTTTTTTTTTTCTTGCCTTATTTCTTATTAAGTCTTAATTTAATGAATGGGCACATGGGCACTGCCTCAGTCAAACTGAGACCTATTAAAGATTTTAGCTTGAAAAGGCCAAGGTCCCCCACTGCATCCTGGGACATAGCCAGTTTTCCTGATCTGGTCACTAGACCCAGATAGTTCAGGAGGAGAAAGTGAGGCTGATGACTTTGCACAGCTCTCCATCCAATAAATCCAATTCACTTGAATGTCCTACAATCACCTCCCTGATGTCAAGGTCCTCTTTGAGAACGAAGGACAAACAGCAAGGGTGGGGGAGAAGAGGGTGCTGAGTGAGCATGTTAGAGGCTAGCGATTAGTCTTCTGTACTATTAATTCATTAGGCTGTTGTTACCTCATTAGGGGTCTTGGTGTCTTTGACCATGGAGACAGCTGCAATTACCTTACTTCTTGCACATAATTATTATCTTGAGAAGTTTTGAGAGTTTAGGAAGGTTGGAGAAAATTTTAGTCCATCTTTTTCATCACATTATATCCAAATCAGAAAGATCACTTTCAACTAGCTAGCAGCATGGAGGGGTGAAAGAATCAAGGCACACTTAATGAAGGAATGGGTGCATGGCCTAGTCCTAGAAGAAAGACTTTAACATGTTTCAACGAAGTACATTAAAAATATAAGAAGCTGCCTGCATGAATGCACAGGGGTTACTAGAAAAGTATGAGGAAAAAAACAGGAAAAAGCTAGAAGTTCAGTATGGCTAGAATTGATAGTATATGAGAAATGTAATATGAAATAAGACTAGAAGAAATTGCACACATAGGAAGTATCCTGTGACCCTGCAGTGCTCCCCCCTTCCATTGGCTAGATCCTCCCAGACTCTCCATAATAAAACAAAAAAGATAGTTTTTCTCCAACTACATGTAAAGACAATTTTAAACGTTCATTTTTTTAAAATTTGGGGTTCCAAATTTTCTCCTTCCCTCAGTCATCTTCCCCTTCCCTAAGATGGCAGATAATTTGATATAGGTTACACATGTGCAATCACACAAAACATATTTCTGTATTAGTCATGTTGTGAGAGAAGACACAGAGCAAAAAAAAAAAAGATGAAAAAAATAAAGAAAGCGAAAAATAGTATGCTTTCATCTGCATTCAGACTCCATCAGTTCTTTCTCTGGAGGTGGACAGCATTTTTAATCATGAGTTCTTTGGAATTGTCTTGAATCACCATATTGCTTAGAACAGCTGTCATTCACAGTTGATCACTGTACAACATTGCTATTCCTGTGTACAATATCAGAGGAATGAAACCCTGACAGATAAGGTTTCTGGACAATTAATAATCAATTTATTAATTAGGAGAGTTGGCAATTAAATTGATAGTGTTTTCACTTAGTAATCAAAGAGTCCAAGGGAGACCTTGTAACACCTTAAATCAGGGAGCTCCTCTGACAAGTGAAACTCAACCCTGATTGGTGGACATTTAATGAGAAAGTGGGCAAAAAGTCTTCAGCTCCTCCTGCTGTATATGTGGTTTGATAATGAGACTTGGCAACCTCAAGGCATCAAGAGGAAGACATCTCTATCTGGAACTCTCTAGCT